TAACCTGGTAAAGCATTTTCTTGGCGTTTAATTAATTTTTGTTCTACTTAGGTTAGCAGTTGTATAAACCAATCAGTCTTTTTGTTAAAGTTTCAAGAATTCTTACCCAGTTCAATTCTTGGAATTGGGGAATTCATGAGGAATTCTTACCCATGATATGATTTTAAAGTTATCAGAAACCTGTATTCAAGACTGCTTTTCAGGGGCCTTTCCATCCTTTCATGAACCTTTTTTTTTTTTTTCTGAGATGGAGTCCCACTCTGTCACCCAGGCTGGAGTGCAGTGGCATGATCTCAGCTCACTGCAACCTCCACCTCCTGGGTTCAAGCAATTCTCCTGCCTCAACCTCCCGAGTAGCTGGGACTACAGGTATGTGACACCATGCCCAGCTAATTTTTGTATTTTTAGTAGAGACAGGGTTCCACCATATTGGCCAGGATGGTCTCTATCTCTTGATCTTGTGATCCATCCACCTAGCCTCCCAAAGTGCTGGGATTACAGGCCTTTGCCACCATGCCTGGCCCTCATGAACCTTCTAAAACATACCATATTCTAGAATTTTGCATGCTTGTGAAGTTTTGAGAAACTGCATCAGCATTAAGTAGTTAACTGTGCAAATGACTTTAAATAGTTACATTTTTTAAAAAAACACAATTGACAAGGAAATTTGGTTATTTCTGTGGTCTATAATCACTTAACATAATAACCTTAATTATGATTGATAGCATATACTCAAACATATTAGAGTTTTAGAAACCCCATATAATTTTGGAATGTATATAACTACACAGATAGACAGAAGATTACTACAGTAGTTGTAAGATTTCTCTTTTTTTTGAGACAGAGTCTCACTCTTGTTGCCCAGGCTGGAGTGCAATGGCATAATCTCAGCTTACTGCTACCTTCGCCTCCCAGGTTCAAGCAATTCTCCTGCTTCAGCCTCCTGAGTAGCTGGGATTACAGGTGCCTGCCACCACACTGGCTAATTTTTGTATTTTTAGTAGAGACAGGGTTTCACCCTGTTGGTCAGGGTGGTCTCAAACTCCTGACCTTGTGATCCACCCACCTCAGCCTCCCAAAGTGCTCGGATTACAGATGTGAGCCATTATGCCCAGACATAAGATTTTTCATTTGCCAGTTTTTAAGTTTCTCAATTGGTTATCGGCTTTAGGGTGGAGTCCTTGGAAGAACAAGGCCAGGAAAGGGTCTCTGGTGCCTCCTGTTTTTCCAGGAGTCCAGGCTGTTAGAGCTTGAATATCTGCTTTTAATTATTCTGACTTTTAACCATCGCACTCTTTAATAAAGTCCTTTTAAAATGTTTTATTACCCGACTTCAGCCAGGCCACATGCCCAATATTCCTGGCTTTTGAACTTTACCAAAGGTAACATCCCAGGTGCTCAGAGAAAGGAAAATTTAAGATAGTCCATGGAGGAGAAGGGAATAGACAAGGTCACTCAGATATTAAACCAGAAAGAACTTACTTCCTAAGCCAGGAATCGAACCTGGACTGCCAATGTGAAAGAACAAAACCTTAACTACTGAGCTCAGAAGGAGTCTACTTAGAGTAGTTAATTTTGAGCTTGCAAAGGCCTTTAATTACTCGATAATTTTTAGAGCTAGCTATGATATGAACCCTAAAATTCCTCTTCCCTGGAAGCTGGAGACAAGGAGAAAGTACTGCCACATGGTTACAAGGTCAAGCTCCCAAGGACATAAAGCAAGATGGAGACCTCATCCAGTTTTGTGTTTGTTTCAGGGACCTGCAGCAAAGTTTGTTACTGACCAGCTTGCTGGGCCATCTTGAGCAGTGAGCTTATGGGGGCCTAAGCCCATGTTTTATCCTAAAGTACCCCTCAACACAGAAAAATGAATTTATAACACAAAATACACCAGATTGACTACAGCTTAAGATTAGTCTCAGAATTCTTTTTTGCATTCATTAAAATTTTACAGAGGAGATAAATAGTGATTTTTACCATTCGTACAACAAGTTTGCACAGAGAGAGAGAAAAGCCTGAAATTGGACTGGTAAGAAATTCTTAACCTTTTGCTGGCATACCAGGCTTCTGGGTTCCCGTTTCCTGAGTGGCCCTGGTGATCTGGCTGTCCGTACCATCACCCTGGGAGCCAAGTCACAACACAAAAGAATTTTTTTAAAACACAGTTCATTGTGTTGTCCTTCATTTGAAACATTCCACTCTAAGTTATCTTCTGTAAGATTTCACCATTTCTATAAGACTTTGCTGCCTCCAGGGCCTAATGTATAAGCTGAAAGAACTCAGTTTTCCAGAAATGAAGTATCCCATTTTTACCTAAAATATTGGCTTTACTCTCAAGTTCTCTTGATTAACTTAGCCAGTGATTTTTCCTACGAAGGCATGCAACAAAAATGAAACTAAGGGGTGGAACACAATCTGTGAATTTTTAAAAGCCAAATTGTATAACCCCTGCAATATTACTACTTACTACTGGGTCATTTCTGACCCAGTCAGATGTGAGAGGCCTCTAACTGGATCCAAGCCAGTTAATTCCCAGATCAAATCCATTCCTGGACCTAGCCTAGTTTCTGTCACAACTTCCAAACCCAGTTTGGATCAGAAATTTCCTCAAAGAAACTTGGAGAGTTTGCTCAAAACACAAATCCTTGGAACTCTGAAATCTGAGAGGGAGCTTACCCATGACCACCAGCTGCTCTGAGAGATCAATGGACACAAGCAGGTCATGAAAGTACCTGTGTGTTCAGTCAGCACTCCTGGGGGGATCAGTAGAAGCTCCACTTTGGATCATGCTTCTGACACCATTTGATAAAAGAAAAACCAGCTGAATTACATTTAAAGCAGTTTAATTGAGCTATGAATGATTTAAGAATTGGGCAGCTTCCAGAATCACAGCAGAGTCAGACTCCAGCACAGACATGTGATGGAAGATTAATAGACAAAAAAATGGAAATGACTTACAGAAGTTTGAAGTGAGGTACAGAACAGCTGGATTGGTTACAGATTGGTGTATGACTTATTTGAACAGTTGAAGATTCAGCAGTGTACGAATGGTTGAAACATGGCTGCTGGGATTGGCCAAGACTTAGCTATTGTTACAGGCACATACTACTAACTTAGCTTTTCAATTTTATCTGCCTATTAAGCTAGGTTACATTTCATCTACAAGGACTCAAATGTAGAAGTACAGAGTCCTTCTCAGGTCATATTTAGTTTGCTGTAACAATGAGAAATGGAACTGGAACTTTGGGGTGAGGTCTTGACTGAAAATAGGTATTTGAGAGTCCTCTGTCAGTGCAACTGAAGCCGGGGGAATGGGTAATATTGTTGTGGAGGCATGCATAAAGTGAGAAAAGAAGACATACAGGAAGAGCACCCATCTTAAGAGGTAAGACAGATCAGGAGGAGCTTGTGAAAGAGATGGGTGAGCAGTGACCAGAGAGGTAGGAGGCCAACCAGTGTGCTGCTGTGGAAGAAAAATGTAAAAGAAGGAGAGTCACCAACTGTGCCAGTTAACTGGACTTAGCTGCAAGAAAAGTCTAGAGTGTGTGATCTGTAGAGTGATCCTGTGATTAAAACATCCTAACTCTCCATCAACAATTTGTTACTACCTTAGACAAGTACAGAAATTGAGAATATTTATACTTTTGTAGCACTTTGACATTGCCACGACATGTAAGCTTGTGATCAATAGACTTTCTGGTTGAACAGGGTAGAGAGACTATTCAGGTGTTGTGGTGAGTCCCATGGTGTGGGGGCTGCACCTTAAGACCGCATGTCAGTCCCAGACAGGTGGGAAAGGGAGGTCATTCAGTGCAGATAGTTTGAGAAGCAATTAATAGGTTCCATGGAATGTTGATGTTAAGAAGGGGAAAAAAAGGTGACAACACTGAGTGTAGACAGCTCTTTCCCTGGAGTTTGGCAGCTGGGGTGACGTGGGGGTAACTAAGTTGAGAGATTTTAAACTAAGTTTAGATACTCTAAACTTAGCAGAGGGAACAACGAAGTTCCATTTTGAGTACCACGTACTAGTTGCAATTGAACCGTTACATCAGCTTTTTCATCTGTTAAAATAAAAAAGATGAAAATGCTATTGCTTTGTAGTAATAGCTATAACTACTTCACCACAAAGAAAACAAGAAGGTTCCAGCTGTGAAAAACACACCATCACAACGATAACTGGGGGGGTGCGCGCACACTCGCTGAGGTTGCGCGTGCACAGCTCGGCCTGCGATCGGCGTGAGTGCGCCTGCGCGCACCGCCATTTCCTGCAGCCACGGACTCGGCCGACGATGCCCGCCTCGAAATGAGAAGAAAATGGTGGTTTGGGGCGACCTTGGTGAGGCTTTTTTCTGCCGCAGTCCCGGTGCCTGCCGCGAGATGCCGCTCGAGGATCACAAATGGGCCTGGATTCTCAGACGGGCCCTACCCGAGAAATTGTGGGTTCCCCTGGCCCTTCCCCGTTTGTGAGCTCAACAGCGGATTGGGAATCTGGCGAACAACACGTACCGACTCCCCTCTTTTGCCCTTACGGAGCCCTTCAGGGTAGCTTGGGGGAGAAGCCCCTCCTTAGATTGCTGGGCCCCTGATGAGTCTAGCCAGCACCCCGGTCTTGAGCACCATGGTCAGGGAAGAAGGCTGGATGGTTTAGGTCTTCCTAGAAGGGCGGGAGGCAGGAAAGGATTGGAGAAAGGAGAGATGGCAGTGGGAGGACCAGGACAGGAATGGCAGTGTGTTTCCCGCCAGGAGACTATGTCTTTTAATACTTCATTGAAATCGTCCGGTGACTTTGTCCTTGTCACAAAGGAGCAGCGGTGCTGGGGTCATGCTGAGGAAACTGCCTGCTCCTTGGGGTGGCGGTTGTGCTTGGTTCCTGCCTGCCCCACCCTTGGGGACACGAGTCCCTCCAAGTCCACAAGACATGACAGCCAGCCCACCTGCCATGTGCAAACAAGGGCTAATTTCAGGGCACTCGCTTCATAAGTGTACTTATTCTTCCTCAGTGTGTTGGCTGATTATGAGGGGAAAAATATGGCCACCAAAGTCGGAGAGGCCTGGCAGGACAGGCCTGGAGCCCCAGGAGGTGGCCAAGGAGACCCAGCTGTACGCACTCAGCAACCAGCAGATCCTAGCACCCCAGAACGGCAGAGCAGCCCCAGCGGATGTGAGCAACTCATCGGACAAGAGAGCCGCACCAGCAGGTAAGAGCCGATCTGCACTGGGCCCCTGCCTGCTAGAGCCAGTGTGTTTGTCCAGGGCAGCAACCCAGGACAAACCCCCACACACTAGGCATGCCTCTTACCTCTGCAGGTGAGTGTAGTTAGGAGGGAAGCAAACCAGAGAAACTAGCATCGCAAGGGTTTCAGCTTGGAGCCATAACATCAAATCTGTTAGACTAAACCTGGCACAGAGAAGGTGCACAGACAACCATGTTGTCTGGTAGCCAGTTCGAGCCTGGAAAGCTGGGTCAGAAGAGGAATATGGGTTGCTTTTTCCAGTCACGGAGATGGAAACTCTCTGAGCAAAGTGTGCCACAGTGTGGATGGGATTCACTGCCAGACATAACGACTGTACTAGTTGGATGAGCATTTCCACTGCTGTCAGCACTGCGATGGCCATGGATTTGGGTAGTAACGCAGCACCATAGTGCTGACCCAGGGTTGCTCACTGGTTCCAAGAAGTTGGCAGCATTAGCCTGAGGAAACAGTGCTCTGCATTTTCTGAGAGAGATCAAGGGAACAGACAGCACCAGACACTTGTGCTTTGCCGTGAGCAGCTTAGGTGTCCCTAAGTGGTAGTTTCCTGACTTCTGGCCTCTGTAGAGCAGTGTGGGTCCACACCAAATTATGACGTTCTTGGTAGCTGTAGGAGATTTCCAATTTTGAAATCCTAGGTGACTTGTAGTGCCTTTTTTCACATTTGAAAATAACTGAGTTTTTAAAATGTTTTTACAGGCAATCTAGTATCAGATTTCATATCACCCTGAAACATTCTGTCAATTCTCATTTTCAAAAATCTACAGAAAGCTGGAGTTGTTAGACTGGAAACAGTGCAGTGTGGCCTCAGGAAGGCTTCACAGCCATTGCAACATGGGCAGGGCCTAGAGGGCAGGAGAGGATGCCATGATTTGATGACATTTTCCCCATTCCTGCCAGGTGAACTTCCTCTCCCTCTCTATGACAACTGCGTGGCGCTCCCATCCAGCTTTGGTCACTAGGAACCCACCCATTGGCTCTTGCACCAGCAGGACATGTGGCAGAGGCTTCCAGTCCGAGGCAGGACTGGCTGCATTCTCAAGATGTCCTTATTTCTAGTATTTTGTGGCTATTGTCCCATACCCGTAAATGATTTTGACCCACTGCCTTGCTGCGACCTCTGTCCTCTCTCTGTCTCTCAGTTCCAGGTCATTCCCTTGACCAGCTTCCGGTCTTTCCTCATCTCGTCCCTGCCAATGAAGTATTCTGGCTCTGCCCTCACTCTTCTGCCATGGTCCATTGCTTTGAAAGGGTGGCTCCAGGAACAGGGTGAGGGGAGGGCTGTGCTAGCTTCATGTTGCCAAGGAACTCAGCAAAGCAAGTGTTTGCTGACCTCTTGCATTCTCAGCCTGGCTCTGGTCTGTCAGACCTAACAGATGGGATGCATGCCAGCAGTCAGACTCAGTGTCACTCTGGTCCTTTTTTGTGTGAGGCCAGAGGTCCTTCCCTTATCACTGCCTGAAGCTGCAGATGACGATGGTGAAAGAAGGTGTAGGTGTCTGTTGAGAGCTCCCTTTGTTCCCCAGAGATCTTTTCCCAAAGTGGCCATGAGTTAGGGACTAACCAGGAGCTATGGGCCGCCAGCTGCAGATGCTGCATACTAAAAGATTCCTGTGAGCAGCCATGTACACAGTGAACACGATGGCTAAAGCCCCATCCACCCAGTCTCAAAGAGCACACAGTCCACTAAGGAATAAGCACGATCGTAATAATGGACAGCTACTGCCGTGTGCTGATAATATGCAGGCACTGTTCTCCATGCTTCATGTGGGCTCACTCATTTAATTCTCACACCAACTCTAGGAAGGAGGTGCTTTTATTATGGAGAAACTGAGGCAGATGGTGGTTAAGTAACTTGCCAGCAGATATGCAGCCAGGAAGTGGCCTAACCGAGATTAGAATCCAGACAGAGCTCAGAGCCAATACTGTCCATTGCTGTGGCATCCATACTGCTCCTCCATTTGTGATAAGCCTAGGAAGGAAAGAAACCAGGTGCTCTGATGGAGAGGGGTTAGGGCAGAGTGTGGTAGCAAAGCTGGTTCGGGAAAGCTTTTCTGTCGAGGGGGAGACAGTCCAGCTGAGACCTGAAACATCTGGAGGAGCCTGGGGAGACGCACCATGCACAAGGAAGATGGGAAGGAAGGCCTGAGCAATGAGCCCTGTGCTTGGAGGGTGGGGGTGAGTGTGAGCAGGGGCAGGAGCTGTGCCCTGTAGGCACTTGTAGGTGAGGGAGAGGAGGCTCCTCCTGTCACTCACATTGCAGTCCTGGGGGCATCCCCAGGGGATTTTCTTTAAGTGGCAGAGTTTCACTGTGTTACCCAGGTTGTTTTTGAACTCCTGGCCACAAGTGATCCTCCTGCCTCAGCCTCCCAAGTAGCTCCAGGGGGTTTCTGTTTTACCTTGCCCCTTCAGTTCTGCTGTCGCCTTCAGTGTTCTTCTGACATGGATCACAGGGTAACAGACACCTGGTAGTTGTTCAGTCAGTAGGAGGTCTTGCCTTCCTTCCTCTTAGAATCAATCCCCTTCTCACTCGTTGACTCTGCATCTTATCCCCTATGTGTTTTTTCAGGCTTTTGTGGGGCTTCCTCTCCCATCCAGTCCACCTCCTCCAGTCTCTGTGGCACATTACTTCGTCATAGGATGATTGGGTACACTGAGGTTAGGTAGGAGGGCAGGCCCTCAGGAAGGGCTTCCCAGAGGAGAAGTTGATGTCTGCAAAGGCATGTGAGACCTCTGCAAGTCCGGGCGAACTGCAGGCTTCTGCTTGGGTAGCACTAGTTTGACCCTATGAGGCAGGAGAGTTAGGCAGATGCTAGATTGTGATTGTTCTTCCCCTTCCCCACTCTTCAATGAGTTGAAATCTTGGGGATTGGATTCTCTGGCAAGGGGACAATACCCCATAGCCTGGGACAGTTGGAGGCAGCCATATCTGAGTATGACGTGAACCGTGGTATGTTGGAGAGAAGCCAGAATCAGCCCAGTGCAGGCCACTGGAGGGTGGGCAGACTGAAGTCAGAAGGTGCAAACAAGTGGTCGGTGGTGCTGCCCAACACCATGCCCTCAAGCTTTGGTAACGAGGCTCATAGCCTGGGGTCAGGCAGAGTGAGAGCCAGTATGGGCTTGGCCAGATAAAAGCCTTTGTGGGCTGCCTAGGAAGCTGAATTCCAGGCCACGGGCCATCTGTGACAGCTGAAGTGTGGAGGCTCAGAAAAATTTCGACAGCTGTCAGTTTCCTGCCTCTGCTAGAAATGAGGTGCATCTGACTCTCCTCCTCAGTGATGCCTGGTTTCATGTGGTCCTCTGCCCCTTGGCCTTGTGTTCTCTGGAGAGTTCCCTGCAGGGTGGCAGAAGGAGCTGATCCTAGTAAGGGACTGTCCCATCCAGTGAGGAGGTGAGCTGGGCTGTGTCTTCCCCTTCTGCTCTCTCCTGACACTCACATCCTCGGGAGCCCATGATTCCACTCTAACTGAGTGAGTCACAGAGGCCAGGGCGCTCGGTTGCAATCAGGAGTTCTGAGTGGATACTGGGAGATTGAGGTCCTGCTACCAACCCACCATGTGACCTGGGATAGGTCTCAACTCCCCTGCCCTAGGTTTTCTGATGTGTAAAGTGAGAAGTTCCATTTGTTGACCTCAGAGGAACTTTCAAGAGCAGTGCTCAAGGATTAGGCTCAGAAAAGCCTGTTTGGCCCTGGAAGGTGTCAGCTCTCAGGGTTGACATGTCCACCCCACCCCTCCTTTTCTTTCTTTCAGGGTGAGAAGCCCCCCGAGCTGCATGGTCACCGTTACTGTCACTGCCACTTCTGAGCAGCCTCACATTTATATTCCAACCCCACCAAGTGAATTGGACTCCAGCTCCACCACGTAAGAAGGGCTGTCTAGCAACCTGGGAGATGTTCTCTGGGCATGGGGGTTACCCACTTCCTCCTTGGCAGTAAAGGGCTTGACTTTTGTTCCACGTTGCTTCCCCTTGAGTGCCTTCCCCAATTCCCAGAAGGCCATTAGGCAAGGGACCACCCAGGACAGTGTTAGTTCCCCAATATAAATGCCCATCTGCAGGCCTAGATGTGCCCACATTTTCTTTTTCCTATCTCTGCAAGAAGCTGCAGTGGTACTTCCTAGTGCTCTAGTGGATGTGGGCCGTGCCATCCATGGGTCCTTGCTGATGTCACTGTGGAGCATGCCGTGAAGGCCAGGTGTGTGAGGCTGTTCTTGTGTTGCTGTAAAGGAACACCTGAGCCTGGTAATTTATAAAGAAAAGAGTTTTAATTGGCTCACAGTTCGGCAGGCTGCACAAGCATGGCACAAGCAACAGCTGCTTGGCTTCTGGTGAAGGCGTCAGGAAACTTCTAATCATGGTGGAAGGGAAGTGGGAGCAGGCACATCCCAGAGCACGCGCAAGAGCAAGAGTAAGGAAGGGGAGGCCCGGACTTTTCAACAAGCAGACCTCGTGTGAACTAACCAAGTGAGATCTCACTTACCACCGAGGGGATGATGCTAGTCATTCATGAGGGACCCCCCCCGCCATGATCCCGTCACCTCCCTCCAAGCCCTACCTCCAGTAATGGGACTCACAGTTGAACATGAGCTTTGTCTGTCTCTCTCACATGCCCACTGCTTCACCTGCATCCCTGGCCACCTGCCAGGGTGCAGGAAGGGATGTTCCTGCAGGAACGCTGCTCAGTGAGGTGTGTGTGTTGGGGCTGGGGAGCACATCCAAGGCGGCCTCTGCAGACATCAGGTCAGCAGCCTGGAGTGTGCAGCATGGAAAGGGGGGGGGCGCAAATTTGGGGCCGTGCTCAGCCCAGCATGAGGCAAATCTTATTTCCTGTCCAGGATGAGGCACCCTCTAGGTCTCTGGACTCCAGCAGTGAGAAGGGAGAGATTAGATGTCAGATGGAAACTGCACAGTAGCTGAGTGCCTTCTGGGAGCTGCTGAGTGTTGAAGACTGACTGTAGAATTAAGGCTTGGAGGATATCTTGGTTGTGGGTAGAGGGTAAAGGTGATGCAGCCCTGAAGTAGGGGTGGAAAGCTCACAGGACTGAAGCCTGGGGAGAAGATGGCGTGCCGAGGTCTGCATGGAGAAGGACAGCACATTGCCATTGGTTGCAGGAAGCCCCTTACTGGAGATCTCAGTCCAAACACAACAAGCAACACTCAAGGGCTGGGACTGTAGTCCAAGTCCACTTCAGTGCCAGTGCCTCTGTCCTGGGCCTTCCCATGAGCTGTTTCACTTCCTTCAAACCAGGCTGGGGTTTCCCCAGCCCTGAACCACTCCTGTGGGCCACGCCTGGTTCCCTGGAATCTTCTGATATCCCTCTGATTTCTGCTGTGCTCCTTCTACAGCAAAGGGATTCTCTTCGTGAAGGAGTATGTGAATGCTAGTGAAGTGTCTTCTGGGAAGCCAGCATCTGCACGCTATAGCAGGTAAGAGTGAGTTCCAAACCCTTCCATGTCGGCCTTCTGCTTCTGGCTCCCATATTCTCATCCCTACGTTCCTAGGTCCTTGTCCAGGGCTTGACTCAGAGTAGTTTCTGGTAATGGTCGAGTGGGTGAGTGATATAATTGCCCTCTGATGGGATTGGTGGATTTTCAGGTGTTCTGCCTACCTGGGCACCTTTGGGTTGTCCCTTACAGTGAATTCGTCCTGCACGCCGTCTTCACTGCCATCCGGTTCTGCTTGTCTTTGTTATTTTGTTTTGTCAAATGCCGAGAGCATCCCTCTCAACACAGCTGGCAGAGCCCTGGGAACCAACTAGTTCATCCTATTTCCTTTCAGATCGCAGAGCTCTTCTTTTAAGCCCCATGTTCTTTTCTGTCATGCCAGGCTACCTCATTTTAGTGCACATGTGACTGCAGTTCCTGATACATGTGTGACTTTGCTTTTTAATTTTATTTACTTATTTATTCTCATTATTCTTGTTTTGAAATGGAGTCTTGCTCTGTTGCCCAGGCTGGAGTGCAGTGGCGCCATCTCAGCTCACTGCAACCTCCTCCTCCTGGGTTCAAGAGTTCTCCTGCCTCAGCCTCCTTCCCTAGTAGCTGGGATTACAGGTGTCCACCACCATGACCAGCTAATTTTTGTATTTCAGTAGAAATGGGGCTTCACCTTGTTGGCCAGGCTGGTCTCAAACTCCTGACCTCAAGCAGTCCACCGACCTCAGCCTCCCCTTTCCACTGATCATCTCTTCATCTGCTTGCTTCCTGATGCCATGTGGAGGGGTACTTCCATGTCATCTCCATGTATTGTCACCTACCACACTGAGATTAGGTGCCTCAGAACGTTTCTTATGACACATCACACCACTGGAGGATTTTAGTAACAGAGAGGAGCATCCTAGCCTTATTTCAGGATCTGGCCTCTGGGGCTTCTGTGCTGGCTTTCACTGGTGCTGTGGAATGATGAGCATGGCTGTGGGGGTCAAGTTCAAACCCCAGCTCAGGCCCCCTGTTTGGATCATTTTGGACAAGATGTTCAATCTCTCTGAGATTCAGTTTCACCATCTCTAGCCCCTTAGGGTGGTTTTTCTCAACAGCTTATTGAGTTATAATTCACCCTTTAAAGTGTACAGTCCCAAAGTTTTGGTATATTCGCAGAGTTATGCAAACATCACTATCCAGTTCTAGAACACCTTTGTCACCCCAAGAAGAAACCCTGAACCCATCTGCACCTCCTAATTTCAACCCATAACTTGAGCACAGGTATTATGCCAGAATGTTCCCTTCCTTCTTCTCATTCCCAGTATCTGATTTCTGTTGAGTGGGCTCCTGGTGACTGTCACATTATAACATAGGCAGGAAGGAAACTTAACTCTTTTCCCACTGGTCAGTTGGGGCCCCTTGGCATGTACAACCTCAGGAATCCTAGCCACCCAGCCCTGATCATCTCCCTCATTGTGAAAGGTCTCCTTTGCCACCCCCGCCCCCCCGCCCATGGCATAGAAGGGCCTTTATGGCACCAAGTGATGGATGACAATCGGCAGCGTACTTATGTCTCAGCTTGTAGCCAAAGGTTAATGAGAAAATGAACTATGACAGTGATTTGGCTCTCCCCCATCACACTCCCTGTAGTGTCAGCAGCATTGAGGACACATTCGACACAGAGAAGAAGCCCCCATACGGCAGCACTCCATACTCTGAGAGGTATGTTGACTTTCTTAGCATGGAGCTTGCAGTTCTACAGAGAAACAGGGAAGGAGCCTGTTTGCTTTTGCCTTCTGCTTTGCAGCCTCCACTACATTTGCAGAAAGGTGAAGGACATAGGCTGGTGCTTCCCTTGTTGGGATGTCACACTTGTGACAACTAAAGCCTTTGAATTGAGCCAAGACCAGAGGGTAGACACCAAGGGTGACTGAGAAGGGAAGGGGTGGTGTCTGACAGCCCAGGGGACTCGACGTCAGCAGGAGAGGCCCTTCAGATTAGAACCTAATCCATCACTTAATTAACTTGCAAATCTGACCAGAAGTCAAAATAAAGTAATTACAAAAGACAGTAGTGGGCAGAGAGTGAAGAAAAGTGGGCTGCTGGCAGCAGGAAGCCAGAAAAGACACAGAGAGCCGAGAATGCATAGTGCTCTGGAGCCACCGAATTGAAAGCAAGGGCAGAGAGCACCTCGTTCAGCAGTTTTGATGACTCGGTGAGGCACATCAGTTGAAGTCTTAGGAGAGAAGGGCAGGTTGGTCAGAAACCTGGGAGTTAACCACCTACATATGAGTGAATGTAATGAGGCCTCCACTTCTAGTGGAGTGACAGACCAGATACCCTAGGGACCCTCCTTTCCATTGCACAACTACTAAATCCAGAATCAGACATTACTGATGCATTGCGAGGCTTGGAGAAAGGAAGGGGACTCTCTAAGGACAATCTCAGTCAGTTGCACACATGTGTATGCACAGACACGCATGCACGTGCACAAAAAACAACTGAGCTGGTGCTGCTGCTGGTGGTGAAAGAAGCAGGAGGAGCAGGGCTGTGCCAAGGGCAGGGTTCATTAGCAGCACTGCTGTCCAAGTGAACCCTGGGACAGTAGCCAGATGGCAGGCCACAAGTTAGCTGCCCATGGCACTTGTGGGTCCTGTGACAGAGCTAAAGTGGATCTAGATTGGTAATGCCTCCCCCAGCTCTGGGCTCCAGTCAGAAGCAGACCCAAGTCTCTGGAAGAAAGTACCTCAAATTTTGGCCTGGAGTATCAGATCAAGCAGTCACTTTCAGCAAGTCCTGTCTGAGGAGGAAAAGCAGAGGTGACTCTCAGAAACAAAAATAGGCATCCTGGAACTGGAAAGATGCCCACCTCAGGATTTGTATCTAGAACTTCAGCATAGGATCTAAGTAGGCTCTACAGACAGAGCACAGCAGAGTGGGTCCAGCAGTGTAGGTGGGGGCAGGGCTCAGTTGGCCCAGGCATGAGGAGAAGGGCCATCAAGACCGGGGCCCAGGCAGGGCACACAATGACATGTCTCCTGTAGGAGAAGGCATTGATCTTCTTGCTGTAGAGGGTAATAGGCCCCAGCAGATACTCCTTTTTTTTTTTTTTTTTTTTGAGATGGAATCTCACCCTGTTGTCCAGGCTGGAGTGCAGTGGCACAATCTTGGCTCACTGCAACCTCTACCTCCCAGGTTCAAACAGTTCTCCTGCCTCAGCCTCCCGAGTAACTGAGATTACAGGCACCCACTACCATGCCCAGCTATTTTTTGCATTTTTGGTAGAGACAGGGTTTCACCATGTTGGCCAAGCTGGCCTCAAACTCCTAACCTCGTGATCCACCCGTCTTGGCCTCTCAAAGTGCTGGGATTATACACATGAGCCACCACACCTGGCCTCTAGCAAATATTCTAAGCAGAAGGTCAGAGGGAGGCAAGCTGTGTGGAATAAGTACCACATCAGGTGTCCACACATACTGTAGTGAGTTAGGAAAAGATACATGACTAATTTTTGGAAATAATGCAAAAGTCTGCAGCAGGGGACCCTCCTGGCATGGAGGCTTGGGGCAGTGTGGTCTGCAGCCCAGACTGAGAACTGATCTGGCGCAGGGCTATGCTGCACACCACAGAGAAAGACTGCAGCCTGGGATCCTAGCAGCAAAGCTGGGCCTGGCTGCACCAAACCAGAAGGTCTGGCTGTGTCACATCAGAGGTCTACACCAGCCTGACCACCAGATTGTTGTTCATCCCACAGGACAACTGGAGGGATCTGTACTTACTGCAACCGTGAGATCCGAGACTGCCCAAAGATTACCCTAGAACATCTTGGCATCTGCTGCCATGAATATTGCTTTAAGGTAAGAAAGTGGGGCCATGCTGCTAAGAATGTTTTGCAGAGTGCAGGAGTCTTACGGGTTCAGACAATATGGAGAAGATTTGATCTCCATATACAATTGCACACAGTCTCAGAGGCTTTGCACAACTGGGAGCTGAATGAGCTTCCAAATCTAAGAGAGTGGATGAGTGTTGGTGGTTCCACATGCTTAGTACTGTCGGGGAGACAAAAGAGGTCTTTTCAGGAAAGACTGTTCCTGGCGAAGGGCCAGCAAGTGCCAAGGACCTGGGGCAGAAGCACTCGAGTGTTCTAGCTTGCATGGTAGAATGGCATGAGTGACTGGGTGCTCTAGATCATGCAGGCCTTGGAAGGCACAGAGTTTGGATTTTTTCAAAGTACCACTGGGGTCTCCATTCTCCATGATGTGTAGCACTTTGTAACCCCAGGTTGTTGTTTTTTTCTGTGCACCCAGAGGTGACTCCCTAAATGGATTGGAATCATCAGTCAGCTAAGTTAAGGTTCAAAGTACTATAATGGTTCACAATAACTATAATGAGAGAAGCATAATACATGAATCAGAGGGCTAATTAATTTATAGTGAACCAAACTGCCAGGAGGAGGGAATTGAGAAATCGAAATAGCCAGCCTCATTGCCATCAGAAAGGTGCTCGGTTAGAATGAGCAAATGGGCTTGGAGGATCCTAGTACTCCTTCTCTGCCTGTCTCAGCACCTACGAAAGCTTGAAGCCAGAAGACTCAGCCTGGGGCCTGGAGAGGGCTGCAGACCCAGACTCATGAGGACTCTCGCACTCCTCTTATTTGAGACTGTCTGCAGGCCACGCTGCCCCAAGAGCCAGTGCCAGGAGGGTCCCCTGCTGCAGATGGTTGGCTTTTCTCCTCCATAGGCATTCCTGGGGAGACAGGTTTGAAAGTCATGAGATCGGAGGAAGAAGCTGGACTGCTGAGATAGCTTTCCTTTCTATGGGACTGCCCTATTGCCTTCCTTAAACGTCACACTTAATATTGTCCAATCCCTGCTACAGCAGCAATGAGCACTGGCACTTACTGACCCCAGGCTGCGTGCTCACTGAATGCTTGTAATAATCATGAGAAGTCCATACTGCTGGTGCACCCACTTTACAGATGAGGAAACGGAGACTGGGAGAGTTTCAGTAACTGGGGCTCACAACTCAAAGCCAGGCTGAATGCTGAACCTGACCTCCTAACCACCACATGATCATCCTGCCAGCTAGTTTTTATGGGACTTGTTTTGTTTTTTAGTTTTTTTGTTTTGTATTGTTTTTGAGTTTGTGTTTTACTTCTAGTTTTCATCATTGTTCTCCACTTTTATTTTAGGGTTGGGATTACACGTGCAGGTTTGTTGCATGGGTAAATTGTATGTCGCTGAGGCTTGGTGTACAAGTGATCACTTTTCATCATTTTTTCTTGACCTCTTGAAGGTCCAGGATATGCCATGGGCTCACAGCATCTGCTTGCCCACCTTGCTCAGGCATCCCCTTCCCACTTGACTCACTGTTGCTTTGCTTTGTGTCTTGACCTCCAGATTGCTCTCTCTTTCAGTGTGGTATTTGCAGTAAACCGATGGGCGATCTCCTGGATCAAATCTTCATTCACCGTGACACCATTCACTGTGGGAAATGCTACGAGAAGCTCTTCTAGGTGAGTGCTGATACTGCAAAGGACAAGTGGCCAAGAGACTAGTTAAGGAGAAGAGATGTGTCCTGGTCTCTCTTGGAGTCTCAGCCCCAGACACTGCTGCCTTTCTTGGCTCTTCCTTATGTTCAGGGGGCCCTGTGTCCTCATGTTCTTATGCCTTGTGATAATTTGAGATATTAGGTGGCATGGACAAAGGCCGTCTGTGAGGACACTTCCATATCACACCTTCCATCCAGCACCTGAGCCAAGGCCTCTAGGTGTCCTGGGATTCTTGCTGGGCCACTGTTGTTACCCCATTTTGCAACAAGGAAATAAAGACGTAGAAAGGAAGGGAGCCTGGAGAAACCCAGGTAGAATCAGGATCTCACCCCAGGTCTTTCGATTCTTGTCCAGGGCTCTCTGTTCCACCATTGCTTACATAGCTTCAGATCAGGACTGCATAGCCATGGTGCTCAGTAAAACAAGCCTCTAGGCCGCATTATGAGCACTGCCTGAAGACATGTTTGCATTCTCACAGTTCGTGGAATTTATCACAGTTTCTGAGCACAGAGCAGAATATATCCCCTGAAGGTAATCGGGATCGATAGCAACCAGGCTTTAAACCAGCTCCATGCTGATGGCCTCCTCTCCAGAAGTCACCTTGAGCTAGGCAGTAACCACTGACTACTGAAGCAGTCAACCACCCTGAGGGCCTCTGGCTGATGTGTTTCCAGTCTCATGGCCATTTCTGTTTTCTTTTAGCCCCACCCCAGGCTGATCAGAAGCTGATGACTCCCGGACAAGTTTGGCTGTCCCTAGTTTTGCCCCAAGTTGCTGGCTCCCCTTCCTGGTTTGATTTCTTCATGCTTTTGCCCTTCTCAAGTTGAAGTCGTATCTTAATGATGCTAGATAATTGCTTGTGTGTGGAGCTTCTTATAGCTTAGAAAGCACTTTACATCCATGATCTCATTTTAGGCTCAACAAAAGAGGAACAAACAAGAATTCCATCTTGCCTTCCCTAAGACAGATTGGCTTTCTAATGAGTTTAGGTGAGCAGAAGTGCAGGGTTCAGTGTGTCCTGACTCCCTTGAAGCTTCTGAGGGGCCAAGTTGAAGACTATCGATGATCCCTTGTGGGTAAATTGCAGACATTGAATGCTAGGGATTGGCACAGGCTAGTGGTTAGCTTGTCTATTTGCCATATCTTTTTTTTTTTTTAATTTCCATACACTTTAAAAAGTAGTTAGCTGCTTTTGTTGGGTTATACAGCAGTGTTTCATTTTGTCTTCCACCCACCTTTCACTATATTTGAGTTTTCCCCTACTGGTATGTTGGCATGTATCGGAAAGTTTACACAATTAGGTTTAATTCAGTAGGATGTGATTTTAGGAGGCTACTGACCAAAGTGATACCTGTGTCTGTTGAAATCTTGATAGTTGATTAATTTGCCTTCAGTTCCGCTCCCTGAACTTTACACAGAAATCCTCCCAGGTGGGTTTTAGGGTGTATAGATCCCAGCAGGATTAAGTAGGGGAAAAGCAGCTAACATTTCTCGAGGCTCTAGCACATACCAGGCACTGTCACAAAGTGTGATGGCATTAGTTCCCATAATAATCCCGTGAAGGTGACATTCTCGTTCCCATCTTAGAGATGAGGATATTGGAACTCGTAGAGGTGGTCATTGCATTGTGCAGAACTCTGCAGAGCCCATGCTCTTCCCAGAACAGCACCCACAGAAGCAAGCATTGATTTTGTGCTGAGTGTGTGCCAAGCACTGTGCAGGGGGTACATAGTTCCTGCCAGGTTTATACCCTCCCTTCAGGCCTCCCTAAGAGCAGAAGGTGTGAAGTCACACTCTTCCTCTGGGCATTCGGGATCCCTGAATGATCTCCACCCCCTCCTCCATGAAGTAATTCAAGGGCCAAGCTCTCTCTTTCCCTCCCCTCTGCCCATGAAAATGCCTGCAAACTGAGATGCTTTCGGCTTAGAACAGATTTGGCTCACAGATATACCAAATAGGAGCTTGTGAATCCAGGAAAAGCTCCAGGGGGCTAGCTGATCTGAGCAGAGAGTGTTCAGTGACCCATTTTCCAGTTAAGACTCTGCCTCAAGCTACTGACAACTGCTGGAGCTCCAGGTACTTGGGACATGGAAACTCATTGGATGGCTGGGCAGATACAAGCCTGTTCATGTAGTCAGCTGACCCTCTGCTCAGGTTCGGCTGGGGACTCTGCCCACATTTGGGCCCAGCATCACTTTGTAAGTTCCTTGACAGGAAGAACAACCTTATTGAATATTTCTGATACAAAATGAGGGCATCTTCTCTTGATTTAGTTATAAAAGGTCTCCATCTTTCTCCAGCTTCTGAGCCCTATGCACATTGGCCTTGTGGACTTGTTCTTCCTGGCAAATGATCAGAGAGGAACACTCCATTTATTTGCATTGGATTTTCCTCTGGAGAGCATATACCCACACTAAATGCCAGCTGCTCTCCCTGAGCTGTAGTCCCCAGCATCAGACTTGGCACATGGTAGATACTAGCACACAGCTACTCAATGTATGAGTGAAGGAAAGAAATGTCACCCCCTGGGTGAGAAGTGCTATCCCTGAGTCTTATTGCAGGCCCAGTGGATGGAATGCAAGGTAAAGAGGCCCAAGAAAGGCTGGCTTCCTTACTTCAAGGTATAGTCTGCCTTTAAGGGAGTTTTAGAGCCAACATGCAAGATAATGAAAGAAATCTTGTAAAAGCATTATTGATTTTGATCCAAAACAGCTTCTTTCACATCTAAAAAGGCACAGAATTTTGCAGATCTAAGGAAGAGGGATGGTTGCATTACATTTTGCTTCTTTTTTATTGCTTAATGTTTCTAATCATACTTAATCCACATTAATGTGCACAATTATAATAAATGGTAAGATATTACATGTGTCAGCATCAACGTTTCCTTTTTGAGTGTAATAACTTGGTGTATTCAGCTGTGTGATTTCTTTATTCCTATTTCCTGCAGCCATTTCTCTGTACAAAAGTAAACAAGTACTTAATAGCAAGATCAACACACTATGCACGCACAGGAAGTGTGGAATTCTAGACTCATGAAATCTCAATGAGGAATACCATATTGTGGGGGAGTCCATTCTCCTCATCATTACCACTGCAGACAGACAGCCACCTAGCTGTTAGTGCACACTTTCAGTGGCTAGGAGCTCAGTTCCTTCCAAGCCCCCTGCTGTCTGTGGACAGCCTTGGGTTTAGATGATGCATTCTTCAGTTGAGTTAAAGTCCATTTCTGTTTGTCAGCCACTGGTGGTCTTTAATCCCTCTGCTAGATGCCAGCCCCTATAATAGATGAAAATAATTCTCAGATTCTGTCTTGGTCAACTCTTCTCACATTTAAATACTCGCAGTCCCTCTACCTCTTCCTTGATAGTAATTCTTAATACACATCTCTCCAACGCTCTCCTCAAAGGTGACCCCAACACACACCCCAACTCATTCCTCTGGATGCATACCAATATAATCTACATGCCATCAAAGTCTTGATTCAACCCAGGGACAGGAAAGGGTGATCAGGAAGTCCAAAGATAGACATGATACTCAGAGAACTCCTTCCACCACTAAGTAGGGACCTTGGGGCCATTGGACTAGTGTTCCTCTAGCAATTTTTAACTCCAGCCTTGAACTTCATCTTGTTACAATGGGGAGGAAGAGCTTTTGCTGATTCAAAAGACAAGGACTGCAACAGAAGCTCCTAACTAGGTATATTCGTAGGACTCTGAATTGGTAACAGTGTGTGATACAAAGACCTAAAGGAAAAATAGGGGAGTGTCATTTTGAAACAGCGAATCAATGCTAGTATTGGGCCTCCTCTGTTACCATGACCCCTGCTTCCTGTCCTGGGTTTGTTGTTGGAATTCACTTGGGGTGGCTGGCAAAATATTAGCAAAATATTAGGGAAAGTTATAGATTAGTCTCAAACCTTTTAGAAGGATGAAAGGTTTTTTGGGGGCAGGCCAAAGGTGGCCAGTCCATTACATTAGCATACGAAAGAGAGATGATAAGAGGCTTGCCCAGTTAAGTCTGTTTACCTCACATCTCTTTGTCTCTACTCTGTTTACTCATGTAAACTTTGTGCTGGATGGCCCCCTCAGGGGGAGATCAAAGGGGAATTACCTGTTAATAGTGTTTACTCTGGGTCCGGAACCTAAAGATTTTATCATTCATAAAACCACTCTTTTAACCATGTTAATTATCCACAAACATATTGACTTAGAACCTCTGTTATGAAATCTTTACTGAGTAAATGTGTGGATGAACGGGAGGTCTTGGTCAGTTGGCAGCTGTTGCCCTTGGAAAGCAGCCAACGATCATCCCTAGCCCACTTGAATCACTGAACCAAGTGTGAGAGTGCATTTATTCATCTGTTGTTAAGTCAGGGTCTGCAGGAGAGACCTCTGCAGGTGCTGGTCAACATCTCATGTATCTGTGATGGCCTCCTCCCCATGCATCTCCATGTCCTCTGGGGACTGCTCCTTGCTTATGAATGTCTTCAGCCTGTGGATTTTGCTCCCCAGAATGTATTCCTCTTGTGAAACTTCTCTGCACAGTATCTTCTGCCTGCGAAGGTCTCAAACCTGCCTGTGAATGCCTTCTTCCCATTGTCCTCTGCCTCAGAATGCCTTCTGCTCCTGGCTCCTTGCACAGTACCTTCTACCTGCAGATGCCTTCTGCTTTCTGATATCTGCGGCTGAATTATTTCATCATCTAGGGCTCAGCCAATGAGGCCTATCTACACAAGGCCTTCTGACTGTAAGTGCCCTTGCCATAGTGTGCTTCGCTTTCTTAGCCTTACTTAAGGTCTGTTGATTTTGTTGGTTTCAAAGAACAACATTGACTTTTAAAAAAATCATTTCATTGATTTTTTTCTGTAATTTTCTAATCTCTGTTTCATTAATGTCTCCTTTAATCTTTATCATTTCTTCCTTTCTACTTGTTTTGGATTTAGCTTGCTCTTCTTTTTCTAGTTCCTTTAAGGTGTAAAGTTAGCTTATTGATTTGAGATCCTTCTTTTGTTCTTCTTTTTTGTTTTTTTGGGAGACAGGGTCTGTCTCTGTTACCCAAGCTGGAGTGCAGTGGCACAATAATGGCTCACTGCAGCTCTGACCTTCTGGGCACAGGTAATCTTGCCACTTCAGCCTCCTGAGTAGCTGGGATTATAGGCACGTGCCACCGTGACCGGCTAATTTTTTTTTCTTTGAATTTTTTTTGTAGAGGTGGGGTTTGGCCATATTGCCCAGGCTGGTTTAGAACTCCTGGGCTCAAGCAATTCTACCACCTTCACTTTCCAAAGTGCTAGGGTTACAGGTGTGAGCCACCATGCCCGGCCAAGATCTTTCTTCTTGAACGTATGCATTTACAGCTAGAAATTGTTCTCTGAGCACTGCTGTAGCCGCATGTTGTGTTTTCCTTTCCATTCATCTCAAAGGTTTTCTAATTCCCCTTGTCACTTCTTATTTGATCCACTTGTGATTTTGGAGTTTGTTGCTTAACGTGGGTTCCCCAAATTTCCTTGGTTATCAGTTTCTAATTTCATTCAATTATGGTAGGTTATTACACTTTGTATAACTTCAACTTTTTTTTTCTCTTTTTCTCTTTTCTTTTTTTTCCTCTTTTTTCTTTTCTTCTAGAGCCCTCAGATGAGAAACTTGAACTTTTTAAAATTGGTGGAGGCTTGTTTTATGGCCCTGTGCTTTGCTGTGAATGTATTTTCATGAGATTCTCCCTTCACAGCTGCTTTTGTGGGTCACTACCTGTGACCACTCTCCACCCTGCCCTCTGCCTTCACAGCCTCTGAATAATGAACCCTGCTTGAGAACTGCCTCTCCCTCTCTCTGAAAGCCTGCTGCATGTTGCTCTTCACTTCTGAGGCCCACCACATACTGTGCTCTGCATCGTGCAAGCTGTCCAGTTGTGAACTTGGCACAATATGGCATGTATAATGCTTTGCTGCTAGGTCACCTCCTTATCATGTCCTCTGCCTGCAGTGCCCTCGGCAGATCCCCCTGGTTCAACATCTCCTCCCACGAATGTCTTCTGCCCATTGACATCTTCTTTTGATCAGCGCCTTGATATGCCAATTGGTCACTTAATCATTCAACAATAATTGATTGGTTATCTGTCTCCTACCTGTGTGCCAGACATGTGGCCCAAGGAAAGTAGACTCAGGGAAGCTTTTTTTTTTTTTTTTTTTTTTTTTTTTTTCTTGAGACAGGATCGCACTCTGTTGCCAGGCTGGAGTGCACTGGTGTGATCTCTGCTCACTCCAATCCCTGCCTTCCAGGTTCAAGTTATTCCCCTGCCTCAGCCTCCCCACTGAGTAGCTGGGACTACAGGCGCTCACCACTACACCCAGCAATTTTTTTGTATTTTAGTAGAGATGAGGTTTCACCATGTTGGCCAGAATGGTCTTAATCTCCTGACCTTGTGATCTGCCCACTTTGGCCTCCCAAAGTGCTGGTATTACAAGCAGGAGCCACCACGCCCAGCCAGGGAAGTTTTTTAAATTTTTATCTTTAGAGATAGACTCTTACTCTGTCACCCAGGCTGGAGAGCAATGGCATGATCATAGCTCAGTGCAGCCTCACACTCCTGGGCTCAAGCAGTTATCCAGGCTCAGCCACCTGAGTTGCTGAGACTGCAGACACACACACCACCACCCCTAACACGGAAGCTTTTCACAAAGACATGATATTTGGCTTTAGTATGAGTTGGCTAAACAAAAGGAGGCTGTCTTCCAGCCTCTCTTTAATGGTCCCCTGCACTCAGCTCCACCCCTTAAGGAAACTCACTTTCCTTATACAGTGTGTCAAGCCTTCTGTGGGACACTGGGAATATATATCAATGAGCAAGACAATCTGTGAACTCATGGAGTGACCATCTCATGGGAAGAAAGACAAAGCAACAATCCTATTTCAGTAGTAATAGCTAAAGGAGCACAGAAGTGTGTCATCTGGATTTCTGGGCTGAAGATGGTATTCTGGGGGAAGTGACTTCTGAGCTGAAATCTGAAGGATGAGGAAGAATCATTAATTAGTTCGTTCATTTAATAATTTAAATATTTCCGGAGTACCCACTGTGGGCCACATACTATGGTAGGCAATTGGGACATACCAATGACAAATCAGACAGGGACCCTGTCCTGGTCAATGATGGGAGGCAGGTGCTAAATAAACATGAAAGTCTTTTCATTTACTCTTCAGCCCACTTCTTTCAGGCTCTCACCTGTACCATGGTGCTAAAAATGCTACTGCTAAGGTCCCCAGTGACCTCCACATTGCTAGACCCCCATGCATGCTTCTCGGGCCTCAGTGACTGAGCAGCAACATTTGGTCCAGTGGGCATGTGTTAGTTCATTCTCACACTGCTATAAAGAAATACCTGAGATTGGGTAATTTATAAAAGAAAGAGGTTTAATTGACTCACAGTTCCATGTGGCTCGGGAGGCCTCAGGATAGTCACAATCATGAAAGGCGGCGTTGGGGAAGCAGGTACCTTCTTCACAAGGCCACAGGACAGAGAAGTGCAAGCAGGGGAAATGCCAGAGGATTATAAAACCATCAGATCTCTGAGAACTCACTATCATGAGAATAACATGGGAGGACCTGCCCCCATTATCCAATCACCTCCCTCCCTCAACATGTGGGGACTATGGGTCCCTCCCTTGAGGTGGGGGATTACAATTTGAGATGAGATTCGGATGGGGACACAGAGCCAAAGCGTGTCAGTTCCATTCCCTCTGCTAGGCCTGTCAGCCCATTCTGCCTTTCCTTCCACCTCACTGGTCACTCCTTCTCTATCTCCATTACTGGTTATTTCTCATCACCCCATTCTCTTAACTTTGGAGTACTCCAGGACTTTGTTCTTGGAC